AAAAAAAATGAAATCGTATATATAGAGCAAATATTACTCACAGTAACAGCCCCATGCATTACCAGCCCATCTAATGCACAACATGAAAAACAGTCTCCAACTGGTTTCACAGCTTAAGTAATCTAGAAGGAACCGAGCTGGTGCGAGAGTGACCCATTCCGATATCTGGATCCAGACAGCATAATACAGCTCAGCATGCTCTACCGTTACACGTCTACCCACCTAAACGATAACTCGACTCTATAATGATGCAAGACAGATATCTCAGCATGATGCAGCACGGCTAAAATCATTTCATCAGCTCAGCTAAGACAAGTTTATAATAAATCAGCCAAATCTCAGTGTTATTAAATCAGTTATCAGTAGTTACAACATAGAAAAATAACTTTCAAGTATTAAATCATTTATATCTCAACTTTTACCAAAGAGATCTAACAAAACTGACTCAAACCTTTCTTAAATAGCATATCAAACCGTTCAAAAAAAAGTTCATAGACTAAAGTAAACTCTCTTTACCTTGGAACGGTGATTCACTCCAGATCTAACAACACTTGGTATTCAGGAGGAGGAGGTGCAGCTGAGGCAATAGCTGCTGTTACCTGTGCTGCAGCAGTGGCTTGGTTTGCAGCTTGGTGGTCAGGGCTTCCTTAAGAATATCAAATGCTTCTTTGCACCTTTCATCAAAGTTGAACTCAACTTCTTTTTGCAAAAGTTTAGAAAGATGGATCACAATCTTGGAGATGTTCTTAATGAATCTCCTGTAGAACCTTGCATGACGAAGGAAAGTACGAACCTCTTGGACATAAGAGGGGTAAGGCAATTGTGCAATAACATCTAATTTTGTAGGATCTACCTCAATGCCTTTTTCAGATATAATATGACCTAGCACTACACCTTGTTCTACCATGAAATGACATTTCTCAAAGTTCAGTACATGGTTAGTGTCAATGCATCTTTTCAAAACTTTCTCTATATTAACTAAGCATGCATAAAAAGATGGGCCATACGCAGTGAAATCATCCATAAAGAATTCTATACAATGCTCCATTAAGTAAAAAAAAAATGCTTAATATACATCTTTAAAATGTACTAGGAGCATTGCGCAAGCTAAAGGGCATTCTCCTATAGGCAAAGATGTCAAAAGGACATGTAAAAATGGTCTTTTTCTTCGTCCTCAGGTGCTATACAAATTTGAAAATAACCAAAAAAACCATCAAGAAAATAATAATGAGACTTACCAGTTAACCTCTCTAGCATCTGATCAATGAAGGGCAATAGAAAATGATTCTTTTGGGTCGCTTGGTTTAGTCTCCAATAGTCTATACAGACTTTTCAACTGTTCTGAACCTTGGTGGGTATCAATTCATCTTTCTCATTCCTCATCACAGTGAATCCAAATTGTTTTGGAACTACTTGGACCGGGTTGGCCCACGTGCTATCTGAAACAAGATAAATGATCCCAGCCTGTAGTAGCTTGGTGACATCCTTCTTCACCACGTCCAAAATAATGAGATTCACCCTCTTCTGAGGCTGCATCACTGGTTTAACACCCTTTCCAACAGTATTTTGTGCATGCACAAAAAGGAGCTAATTCCAGGAATATCAGTGAGTGTCTAACCTATGACTTTCTTGTGCCTCTTTATCACTTCAAAGAGTCTCTCCTCTTGATTAACATCTAGCTTGGTGGAGATTATTACTAGAAGCTTTTCATCTGCCTCTAAATAGGCATACTTCAAATGTTTTGGCAAGGGTTTTAGCTCCAGTGTGGGAGGTTGCTCCATATAGGGAAGTTTGACACTTTCAGTAAAAGAAATTTCTATAACATTCAAATCAAAGGGGTTAGATTCAACTATACTTGCTAAATTCAATAAATCATATTCTACCATTGCTAATTTTTCAATCTCTTCAATATCAAATGTTGTAGAATTTGCATTTAAAAAATCAGAAATACAAGTGTCACACAAAAAGGAATTATTACAATATTCACAAATGGGAGTTTTTATGCATTTAGAAAAATTAAGAGAAAAATCTTCTAAAAATTCAGAAAATTTTTCATCTATTAGAACGTCAAAAAGATCAATTTGGAAGACAGAATGTTCTTCAGATGGGTGCTTCATGACATCCAATATGTTGAAGTGCATAATGCTATCCCCAAACTCCATGGTAAGTGTTCTGGCGTACATATTAATTTTCTTTCTTGCGGTCTTCAAGAACGGTCTTCCTAGGATAATTGATATAGAACTCTTCATTGATTCTCCTTTTTGCATATCCAAGATGTAGAAATCAGCTGGAAAAATGAGGTCATTCACTCTGACTAACACATCGTCCACAATTCCAGCTAAATTTGTTATGCTCCTATTGGCCAACTGGATAACCACACATGTGGGCTGCAAGGGTCCAAGAGACAGTGAAGTAAAAATAGATAATGACATAACATTTATGGATGCTCCTAGATCTAGCATAGCATTATCTATCCTACAGGTATCAATGATGCATGGAATGGTAAATGTCCCTAGGTCTTTACATTTTTCAAGCATTGAAGACCTTTGTTTCTCAAAGAGTGCAAACACATTCCTACCCATGTTTACCCTTTCATTACCCTTAAGACGCCTTCTGTGGGTGCATAAATCTTTCAAAAATTTGGCGTATTTGCATATTTATTTAATTGCATCCAATAAAGCTATATTCACCTCTACCTTCCTGAAGGTCTCTAAGATCTCTTTATCAGTTTCCTTAGTCTTCTTACATGGCTGGATGACTCTCTGAGAAAATGGTAGAGGAACTGCTTTTTCAGCATTTCCTGCTCCCTTTTGTTGGGCAGGTAGGTGCAGGTTCTGGTTATTCTTGAGTATTTTTCTCTCCATTTTGATCAACTATAGCTGGAGTACAGCTTGAGTCTTCTTTATCCTTGGTCATTGCGGGCTCTTGCATCACTTTTTTAGATCTCAAGATGATTACACTTACATTTTTTGGGTTTACAATGGTTTGTGCAGGGAAACTTCCTGAACCTTGAGATTGGATTTGGCTCAGAGAATAGGCTAATTATCCCACTTGATTCTCCAAAGTCTTAATACTAGCCTTAGTTCTCTACTGGAAAGTGATATTGTTCATGGCCATTTGTTTCATGAGCTCTTCCAATGATGGCTCATTTTTCTGGGTGCACTAGGTTATGAAGGAGATGGTTGGTGATGATGTGGGGCTTGTTGTGGTTGATGTTGGGATTGATGAGGTCTACTTGGGTCAACATGATGAGCTTGATATTGGTTGCCTTGTTGCTAGTTGTGCTGTTGCGAGTTACTCTCCCATCTCAAATTTGGATGGTTTCTCCAGCCTGTGTTATATCTATTAGAAGATAAATCCCAAATAGGCTGTTGCTGCGAATGCTAAAAAGGAAACTTATTAGTATAAATTTTTACAGCATAAGCTTGAGGATTACCTTCCAAAGTGTCAGACTCTTGTAATGTGGGGCAGCTGTTGGTATAATGATCTGTAGCTGAACAAATGTCACATAACATAGCTGGAATGGGTGGTGGAAGAGGTGAAGGTGCATCAGCAGCACTCTTATGCATGGAAGCCAATTGCTTTACCATGGCTGCGAATTCATCAAGCTTGTGTTTCAGCTTACTGGGTTCAGCAGCTTGGATTTTACTTGCACTTCTGGTAACACAAGAATTTTGCCTCGTTCCAAATTGTTGGGAGTTAGCAGCCATGTTTTCAATCAAATTGTGAGTTGCAACTGGGGTTTTGTTTACCAACGCCCCTCTACTTGCGGCATCTATCATGCTTCTGTCCATGGGGTGTAGTCCCTCACAAAAGTATTGGATGAGCAATTGATCACTTATTTAATGGTGAAGGCAGCTGGCACACAATCTCTTGAACCTTTCCCAATATTTATAGAGTGTTTCCCTCTCAAGCTATCTTATCCCAAAAATTCTTTCCTTATAGATGTAGCTCTAGATATTGGGAAGAATTTATCCAGAAAAAGTCTCTTCAAGTTCTCCCAACTGGTAATAGATCTAGGAGAGAGATAGTAAAGTCAATCCTTGGCTGCATCCATCAGAGAGAATCGGAAGGCTTTTAATTTAGCATGCTCTTCAGGTACACCTTGTGGCCTTATGGTCAAACAAACTATATGGAACTCCTTGAGGTGCTTGTACAAATCTTCACCAGCAAGACCATGAAATCTAGGCAACAAGTGTATCAGTCCAGTCTTAAAAACAAAAGGAGTATCAATGTCAGGATATTGTATGCATAAAGTTTGATAAGTTACGTTAGGTGCAGTCAGTTCCTTTAATGTCCTTTCATTGTTAGCCATTTGGTTCAATTCGGAATCTAAAGAACGTGGTGAAGAGTATATAGATGAAGGAGATGAAAGTTCCTCAAAATGTTCAGAATAATGCCTATGTATTCTAATGTTACTATGAAATGTCCTATCAATTTTCGGATCAAGTGGATATAAATCTATAAGATTTGATCTAGTCATGCATTAAGAACTAACTATGAGAAATGAAAAGAAGCAAACTAAATGAAGTAACAAAATTGCAAGAAAGTGCAGGTAACAATTATGCAGAAAAATAATGACTAGGTGCAATAAAATAAAGCAATAGTACTAAGTAACAAGAAACAGAAAAAAAAAACCACAAAATAAATGCAAAGAAAAACGCAGCACAAAGTTAAAAATTCTGCAGAATTATGCAGCAAACAGAGCAAAGATGCAGAAAAATTAGAGATGTAGAATAGTGAAATTAAAAACGCAAAAACTAATACCCAAAACTTATAGAAAAACAGCAGAAATATGTACCTAAACGCAGAACCACTCTATCTATTAAGAAGCTATATCAATGCTAATGTATTCACAATGTAGAAAAATTCAAAAACAGAACACTAAAACAGAGTGTTTAACAAACTCAATGCAAAAATTAACACCAAAGTCTCGGCAACGGCACTAATTTGATATCACTCAGATTGCATAAAGATTTATTGCCAATCCTCATCAAAATATGCAGAAATTGTTTTTGTATAGTTTAGGATGTAAGTCTAGGTTGTCTCCAATGACTTTAATTGAAAATATACATCAAATATGTTACAAACATTCGTTATGAAAGCAATTAAATGGGGTTTTTGTATGATTCCAACTTTAATAATAAGAGCAAGAAACAAAATTATAAAATTCAATCAATAAGATGCAACAATCCCTAGTTCATTCACGCGATCCTATCCCTATTCCTCTCAAGATTTATTACTCTTCTTTTTCCTCCCAGAATTAGGTTAATTTAACAAGCAAAATCTAACCTTATACTTCCACACGAATTAAGCAATTCAATGGACTCCAATATGTTTTTTCAAGATTATGCAACCTTAGAAATAAACCCAGAATTAAGTAATTCAAGTTTAAAATCTCATTAAAACGAATTAGGGTTAATTAAGCAATGTCCCCCTCATTCAACCATTAATTTAATTCAAAACATTAGGAAGAAGAAATTCATGGAAGAAAAATAATTATATTTATATTCAAAACCCAGAAATTTAAGAATCTAAATGAACTCACTAGAGATTACAAAAGGTTTAGTCCTCCATGAGGATGGGTCTTACAATTACAAAGTAAAAGTGAATAGAAATCAATAACATTAATGTAAAAATCAAAAAGAAGTAAGGAGAAAATGAAAATCAACCCTTAGGTTGGATCCTTGACTGTCACCTAAGGCTGACCTAAGCTCTCCAAGTGTTTTCAAAATGGAAAAAAATCTAAAAGTGTAAAAAGCTCTCTAACCCTAATTTCTAAAAATCTATTTATAGTCAAGTGGGCGACATCCATAGTAGCCTCTCAGTCCTGTCATTCTTCTTTGAATTTGTCACTATGACAAGTGATAGTGGCTACGCGCACTCTGCGTCAGTGTGGCTCTTGCTATAGTTGTCACTTTCGCTTCTAATAGTGGCTACGTGCAGGTCTACTGCCCTCTGGATCTAGCTTGCTGTATTATCCACTATCACTTCTGAAAGTGACCACTTTCACCTCAAATTTTCTTAAAGGCTAAAAATCCATGGAATAAGTCTAGAAATTCCTGCACAGTTATTCAAATGATCAAAATTACAAATTATATCTATGTAAATCAATGTAAATTAACCAAAAATTAAGAAAGCTATGATATTTGACCTAAATAGGATTTTTATCTTATTTACGATTTCTAAGTCTACTTTTTCTATTAAAGAACACTAAAGAGGCAAGTAAAAATTTAATAAAATATGGATTCATCAGAAAGACTTGCATCTTGTTTCCATCCAAGGTACTGATTCTAATTACCTCTCCAACCTTGGTTCTAATTGTAATTACCAGAGTTGTTACCTTGTCTCTGAGCATTATTCAAATAACTCACTTCTTCCTCTAACTCTTGTTCAGACATAGCACAATGACCGTTTGGGTGATCACTTGCACAAAAATCACATCTCATTACCTGTTGTTGTTGAGAATGAGGAGAAGATTCAATTTGCATCTTAGATATTTACTTCTTCAAATCCTCCATTTATTGAGAAAGAAGCTTATTTTGGGCTAAAATTGCATTTTGAGTATCTAACTCCAGAACCCCTATTCTTGGAGTGGAGGGTTGCTTCTATCATGATGGGCTTGAAAATCACTAGTTGCTAATGCATCAATGATTGTAATGGCCTGTTCAGAATCCTTCATCATCATAGAACCGCCTATAGACGCATCTAATAACATCTTTGTTTGCGGTCTAAGCCTATTAAAAAACATGTTTAACTGGGTAACATCATCAAATCCGTGATTTGGACACTTCCTCAATAAGGATTTATATCTTTCCTATGCTTCACATAGGTTCATCAGCTCCTTGTGAGAAAGTTGTAATATCCTACATTTTGATTTAAATAAAAGGAGATATATTAAAGTGTAATTAGAATAGATTTGGTAAAAATATATATTTAAAAAATAAAAAAAATAAAAGAAAAATATTAAAAAATAAAATGTGAATAGTATCAATGAACAGTAAAATCGCGTACAAACTGCGTATGAACATTAAAATCGCCTATGTACAATGACCGCTGACATCATCAGTGACATCATCCTGACGTCACATATGCGTAAAACTTGTGTATAGTATACGTGCACAGTGTTTTCGGCATGAACAATGCTGGTAACGTCCTGAATTTTAATAATATTAATTATTATTGTTCTTATATATATATATATATATATATATTCATATGTGTGTTGATTTATTTGAAAATGATGTTTATATGTATTAAGTACATAGATGTGTGTATATACGTCTATGTATGACTGGATAGGCTGAAAATGGGCACAGTTTGGGGTTTATTTCTGGGTGCAATCTCACTGTAGCGACAGGATCGCGCTATAGCAAGATTCTGTAGAAACCAGAGTGCAATTTTCTCTGATTTTTTCGCTATAGCGAGAGGGCGTGGACCTAGCTGCAGCGAGAATATCTTGCTGTAGCGAGAGTGTCGCGACCAGAAAAGGATTTAAAGGGAGTTAGGGTTCGGGGAGAGTGATTTCTCCCTCTCCCTTTGAAATTCCTTGGATTCTCTCATTCCCAAAGCCCTATTCCACCGATTAATTGCCTCCAAAGCCGTTCAGGAGAAAAATTGGAGCTCGAATTTGTGTGGGGAACACTTGGAGGTGAGTTTTAAATGGTTAGGGTTTCGATTTTTCACCTTTTTTCTCTGTTTTTGTGGTTTCCCTAGGTTCTCATGGAGTTTCTCCATGTGTTTAGGACGAAATTTGTGAGGGAGAGCGCTTCTTGGTGGATTTAACGTGTGGGATGTCGATCCGAGGTAAGGGAGACTCAACCCTACTCTTTGTATGCAATTTACCGTTATTTAGTTGAATATTGTGATGTGGCTGACTAGAGAATAGGAAATTACTGTGAAATATGATGTGGGCCATGTGCTGATATATGAATATTATGTGTATGGATAAGAGAATATGTGGTTGATAGAATTTTGCTATGTATTGCGGTGTGTGAACAAATGTTGGCTATGTGCCGTGTAATGTGAAATGAATGTGGGCCTAGTGCCATGTATTTGAATGTAATGTGGGCTGTGTGCCGTGTGTAAGCATGATTATTGCATGCGTGAATGAAATATGTGTGAATGGGCGTGTTAACGCCATTGTAATGTGTTGTGAATGGTTCAACGATACATTAGGGGGTGTGGGAGATGAGGACGGTAGAAATACCTTAGGGAAGAGGGAGTGGTGGTGACACTGACTATGGAACGGGTGCACCACGGGTCACGCACTCTCTTCCTGACTAGACCTCTGACCATTACCTTTGTTGAGCGACCCGTGACTGCCCACGTGGTATCCGTGAGGCGAGGGTAACTGACGACCATTTATAGTGTAAATATGTGATCACAGTGCTATAGTGAGTGTGACTCGTGTGCGTATGCATGGATTTGTGTTTTGTAATTATGAATGTGAAATGTTGCCTGTGATTGTGATTGTGTAATGTGTTGGAAATGTGCTCGAGGTGAGATTCTATGTTTGGTTGTGTTTTGGTAGCGTAGAGTACTCACCCTTACATTCATTTTTCAGGTAATCAAGACGATCAGCACTGGACTCAGTGAAAAGGGTGGATGGAACTGCTATAGGACTGAGAGTTTAATTTGAAACTAATGTATTTGAATGGGTCCTGTAGTAGTGACTTGATAGAAATTGTAACCCCTCTTCTTATTTTAAAAATATTTGATGAAACCAAGGGTTGAGAACCTTATTTGAAATGAAATTTATTTCATTTCAAATTTGTGAAATTATGATTTATTGAAATTAAACATAAGGTGTTACAATGCCCGTGAACAATGTTTCCGCCGTGAACAATAATTTCGCCGATGAATAGTAAATTTCAAAAAATTTCTATAAGAAAAGGGTTTCACACAAAATTTTCATTTCTTCACTCCTATCCAAGGTTCTCAAAGGTTCTAAGGTTATATCTCACCATTTTCTCTCATACTAAACCCTCCTAAACTTAGATTTCTCTTCAAATCTATGATTCTACGTCTGTTATGAAGGATTTCAAGTAAGTTTCTTTAAGTTTGAAGCTAGATTTACTATTTGTTTCTCTTCTTCTTTTTCTTATAGATATTCATGGTGTTCTTAGGAAAAACTCTGATCATGAGTTAAATCTTCTGTTAAATCCTTGTAAAAGCTCTGTTTTGAGGTAAATGAGGCTCTACTTTATCATTTTGTTATGTTTATTACTTGTATTCTCATAGATATTGTCATATATCTGATTATATATGGAATAATCCTTATTTTATGAAAGATAATCACTGAAAAGTGAGAATAATTGGTTGTTTATGTGATTTTATGATGAATACATGGTGAAAAAGTGATATTATGTTCAAATAGTGCATGATAAGGTATATTGAGGACGGTTGATGTGATTTTATGATTTTGTGATATGAAATATACAAAGAGATGGATGTTTCTTGTTTGAATATATTGTGGTTCATGTAAAAATGATGTGTATTGTGAATATACTATGGTTTGATGTATATGATGAAAAGTATGTGGAAATATAATGAAAAATATGTGAATATGAGAAATGACATATGTAAACATACTTGAAAAAGTATGAGATGGAAAATGATATAATGTAAATAGTTATAGAGATATACTGGGGACTAATTTTCAGTGACTAGCTTTTAGTAACAAATATAAAATTTGTCATTAATAATTAATTATTTGTGACAAATTTTTTTATATCGTCACTAATATTATTATTAATAATGACTTAATTAAAAATCGTCACTAATAATAAAAATATATTAATTATAAACAATTTATTAATAATATATAATATAAAAAAAAAATTTATTTTTTATTTTAAGTTCATTATTAATATGTACATAAAATTAATACTTATAATTTTATTAATAAATTTTTAATTTAATAGTATTTTGAATCTTTATATTTTTATCAGTGTTTAAATTTAATTTTTAAATTAATATCAGTGTTTAAAAACTTTTAAATTAAGTTTT